GCAGCAGCAGCAGCAGCATGGCACGCGTTCAACGCAATTCACGTGTAGGACGCGATCTTCGCGTAAATTGACGCGTTTTGCGCGCGCGAGGATCGCGTAAAGGCAGATCACGTGATGACCGACGGTGAGAACTCTTTTCACCTCGCGGCAGAATCACGGGCGGGCTACAATTGAACGTGTTTGCAAGGTGTGCCGTGCCGTGCCGCCAAGTGAATGGGCCACGCGTGACGTGACTGTGCTGCATGATTGCTGCGTATGGGCCGGCCCCCAGCCAGGTTCTTTCGGCCATCCAAACTGATCCGATGCAAGCCACAAAATTCGCGATCTTTTGAAGCGCGAACCAATAGCATCATGAATACACGCTTCTGTCACGCCTGCATGGCTTGCAGTCGAGACTCGCACTCAGCACACTGCTCGTCACTTTCAAATTTTGGACGCTTTCGGTTTCGGTTTCGGTTTCGGTTTCAGGCGACGGGTAGGCGCACCTCGCTTCCCTGCATGCGTCGCCAGTGCTGATAAGCATTTCACTCATCCCCTCGCTCCATCTTACCTCTAGACTTGCACCTTCACCCAGCGGCCATACCCTTCCATCGCGTACCACTGCGCACACCATGACGATTCTCGACCTGCAATCGGATCTGTGCACGCTCTTTGAGGAGCAAGCGAGGTCCACACCTTCCCTGCCAGCACTCGAAGATGCCACGTCAACATGGACCTACGCATCGCTGGAAGAAGCGACGGGAGTGTTTGGACACACGCTGCAAACGCAGTACAAGGTGGCAAGGGATGAGCTGGTAGGCATCTTGATGGATCGAGGAGCGCACAATGTCATCGCATCCTTGGCTGCTTTGCGAGCGGGAGGCGCCTTCCTCAGTCTCGAATTGGCTTATCCCGACGCGCTGCTGGGGGATGTGGTGGAGGATGCCAGACCGCGGGTGATCCTCACCCAAGCCGCTCACAAGCACAGACTCACAAAGCTCGGCATCAATGTCCCCGTCATTGCTATCGACCAACTTGCCCCCGACGACGCGTTCAAGGGCTCAGCTAGACCAGCCAAATCGCCCAAGGTGGGACAAGAGGACGATCTGGACAGATTGGCATTCGTCTCCTACTCTTCCGGCACGACTGGCAAACCCAAAGGCATTGCCAATCCTCATCGAGCAGCAGTCGGCTCTTATGATTTGCGCTTTGGCCTTTGCAACCTGCAAAAAGGCGATCGCGTGGCAGCCAACGTCTTTTTCATCTGGGAAATGCTCAGACCGCTGTTCAGAGGGGCTACATGCGTGGCCGTTCCCGATGCTGCCTCTTACGACCCCGAGCTTCTGGTCGATTTCCTCACCGCGCGCAGCATCACCGACACGCTCTTCACGCCCACTCTGCTTGCCACCGTCTTGGCTCGCTATCCCGATCTGGGAGAAAAGCTGCCGACATTGACGAGCATCTGGCTCAATGGAGAAGTTGTGCCTTGGGACTTGTGTCGCAGAACACTGGCCACCCTTCCGCATGCCCGGTTGCTCAATGTCTACAGCGCCTGCGAGACGCATGAAGTGGGCGCTGGAGATGTCGGGGAGATGATGAAGCAGATGCGAATCGCTTTCGAAGTGCAAGAGAATGCTGCCGATGGGTCTGGCGGCAACAACGGAGTGTGCCCCGTCGGACCTTTGCTGGATCCCGACAACGCATACATCCTTGATCCGGATGGCAAACCTGTCGAGCAAGGCGGCATCGGAGAACTCTGCGTGGGCGGTCCTCTGCTCGCTACCAGATACCTCAACCTGCCAGACATGACCATCAAGGCGTTCGTCCAGAATCCCTTTGCCAAACCCAACTCGCCATTCCAACGAATGTACAGGACGGGAGATGCGGCTAGACTGGTGCAGCCAGAAAATGGAGCAGGGGCTCCGCTGCTCGAAGTTACGGGAAGAATTGGGGGAATGATCAAGACGAGGGGTTACACGGTGCAACCTGGATTGGTAGAGGCTGCCATTGTGGCCCACATGCAGGTGAGAGCCTGTGCCGTTGTGGGGCACGGCGAAGGTCTAGAAAAGAGGTTGGTGGCGTACGTCGTCAAGGATGATTCCTCCAAGCACGAAGCATCTCAGGATGGGCTCAAGCGCACTGCTCTCAACATCCACGCTGCCGGCTACAGTCCAGAGGCAAGAAGAGCTCTAGCGGGTCATTTGGCCCACTATATGATCCCTTCCGTCTGGATCGAGATGGACGTGCTACCCACCCATGCAGTCTCTGGCAAGATTGACCTGCGCGCTTTGCCAAAGCCGCCGCCTACCAGACCTGCTACGCCCACCACGCCCACCAGGCCCGGCACTGGAGAAGGCAGCAAACTTCCGAGCGGAGCGCAGACGCCGTCCGTCAAGGTCACCTCGGAAGCCATTGCCGAGGCTTGGTCCGCATCTCTGGGTCTTCCGCTGGATGCCTGCAACGGCCCTGGACACACCTTTTTCGACTTGGGAGGTCATTCCCTGAGCTTGGCCGACCTAGCAGGCAGATTGACCAGACTATTTGGTTTCTCAGTTCCTGTCGCTCCGCTCGCCGCCAATCCTTCGATCGAAGGTCACATGCAGACCGTGGTAGCTGCGAGGGATGGACACTTGTCCGCCCTCAATGCGGATCTGCCAGCCATGCTTCGGGCAGACTCGGCGCTGGATGACGAGGTTCGCCCAACAGGCCCGCAGTTCGCCTCTCTACGCCAGATCAAGAGCGATCGGGTCAGGGATCATGCAGAACCGCAAAGCATCTTGCTGACTGGAGCTACTGGCTTTTTGGGAGCTTTCCTCATTCGCTCCCTCATCGAACAGAGGCCCAACGCCAAGATTTTGTGTCTGGTCCGATTCCCAACGCCGGAAAATGGCATGCAATCGGCCGGATTGGCGCGCATCAGGAGCAACCTGATCGATCTGGGTCTTTGGCACGACAGCCTTTTGGACCAGATCGAGGTGCTGCCAGGAAACATCTCCAAACCCCTCTTTGGCATGGATCAGGTCAGTTTCGACAAACTGGCGGAAAGGACGGATGCGATCGTGCATGCGGCTGCTACGGTCAATTTGGTGTACCCCTATGCGGCTCTGCGCGAGCCAAACGTGCAAGGCACGCAAGAGATTCTCAGGCTCGCTTCCCTCGGCGGCGCCAGCGTCATCCACATTTCCTCCAACGGAGCTCTGCCGCCCTCTTCGGAAGGTCAAAAGTGGCGAGAAGATGCGACGCTGGCTTTGGAAAAGGTGCACAGCGAAATTCCGGACGGATATGGTCAGACCAAGTGGGTAGCTGAACAGTTGGCACATCAGGCACGAGCGAGGGGCTTGCCCGTCACCATCATTCGACCTGGAACGCTCTCGGGTTGCTCCAAGAGTGGAGCTTCCAACCAGTGGGATATGCTGAATGCTATCATCGTCGAGGCTCTGCGCATGAAGGTTGCTCCTCTGATCGAAGGGTGGAAGACGGAAATGACGCCAGTGGATTATGTGGCAGATGCCATCGCTGCGATAGATGTGGAGTTTGAGAACGTCGAAAGCTCGGACGCCTTGGCTCCCGTCTTGCACCTGTGCAACAGCGATCCTCCGCTCGCTGCCAGCGTGTTCGATATGCTCCAACGCTTGGGCTACTCGACGGAAAAGAGACTAGAGTGGGAAATGTGGGTCTCAAAGTGGAGAGCTGGAGCGACGCTGTTGGCCGCTAGATCCAACAACAGCACCAACAAGTTGCCCTTTTGCACCGAGATCCTTCGAGGAAGTCTACCTACAGTGGACACGCTGCGATTGGTGCCCATCTTGGACGATTCGAAATCTCGAGGCATTTTTGAAAAGGCTTTGGGGTATGAGAAACCCAAGATAGACGAGGCGCTTTGGCAGACTTATACGAGACACTTTTACGCTAGGGGTTGGTTGCCCCATTCGCCTACGCGCTCGTCGACTGGACCGACGGCCTGCACGATCCCACCTCGGTCATCGCTCAGCGGAATCAGCACCCCGTCCACTGGTTACCAGCATGTCGGAAGATTGGCTGGCAAAGTGGCGGTGGTGACTGGCGCCTCGTCGGGCATCGGCGCTGCTGTAGCGCTCGCCCTCGCCAACGAAGGAGCTTCGGTCAGCCTAGCTGCTCGACGCACCTCGGCTTTGCAAGGTGTCAAAGCTAGAGTGGAGAGCGTGGGTGGTAAAGCTGTGATCTGTCAGACGGACGTGACCTCCAACGAACAGGTCAAGTCGCTATTCGAGGAGACAAAGGAGCGGTTGGGAGAGGTGGACATTGTGGTCAGTTGTGCTGGAGTGATGTACTTCACCATGATGCACAATGTCCAGACGCAGCAGTGGGATCAGACGGTGGATGTGAATTGCAAAGGGTTGCTGCACATCCTCGGCAACATTGTCCCATCCATGCTCTCGCGCAAAGCGGGTCACATTGTGGCCATCTCTAGCGATGCTGGACGCAAAGTCTTTCCCGGCTTGGGCGTCTACTCTGCAAGCAAATTCTTCGTGGAAGCGACGCTGCAGAGCTTGAGGTTGGAGACGGTGGGAAGCGGGTTGAAAGTTACCAGCGTTCAACCTGGCAATGTGGCCACGGATCTGCTCGGTATGAGCAGCGATAAAGAGGCTTTGGAAAAGTATGGAACGCCAACTGGCGCAAAGGTGCTGGAGCCAAAGGACGTTGCTAATAGCATCGTGCACGCCCTCTGTCAACCTGAACACGTTTCTGTCAACGAAATTCTCGTGGAACCTAGAGACGAGCCCATCTAAGCGGGCTGCATGCATACATTTTTTCGCTCCGCTAGCGTGCATGTGCAATTTATATAGATGGCGGAAAAGATCTTGGCCTGATTTGCATTGCGATTGCGAACCCTTGGTGCCGCAGTGAAATGCGCATGGATTGTCGAGGCTGCACCGCGCTTCGGCCTGCTCTAGGCAAATTTCCAATTGCTCCTCTCCTCTGTGATCATCCTAGCAGCCTGTCGATCGCCCACAATCCTCTCCAATCTGAACCTGTCAAACTTTGAAAAGACGGCCAGCGCGGCAACTTCCGTCGGGTCCAGTTTCGCAATCTCTTTTGCAATTTGCCTCATCCTTCCATCCTTTGCCACCCTCGGCTTGGGCGGGACGAATGGCCAGTGCAAAATTTCAGAGTAGAAAAGAGCATTCTCGGGTAGAGCGTAAAAGACGAGCGTTTGAGCTCCTCGATAGGTGTTGCGCTTGTAGAAATGCGAGCGCTCAGTCACGATCAGGAAAGCCCTCTTGCCGGTGAAGAATGCTTGTCTCGATTGCGCCACCTCGCGAGGCGTCGAGTATCTATTCGGAGAGGCCAAAGTGAGCTGGACAGCTCTTGAACCGGATCAGCTGCTTCATTCCGACTCACTCGGAGATGGCCTCGAAACTCAAGTCGCATCTCTTCATGTGATCTTCGATCCTGACAAAGTCAAAGTAGGAGGGTACAAAGATGACCGTCTTTGTCGCGCTCACTGCAGACTTGAGCAAGCTGGGCAGAGTCTGTACGAGCGCGAGAATGGAGGAGCCAAGAGTAGAATGAGGAAGCGTGAGCAGCGAAAATCAAGACCTTGGCAATAATGTGCTCACCCTGCTCGTGAAATGTTGAAAGCGCGCATCCGGCTCCATGTTAAGGTTCGCACAGTCGAAGCGGGTAAAGGTCTGCGAGGCGCGTGGAGGTCAGCGACGCGCCGAGATCCGCGCATTGACGCTCCGAACGAAGCGCTCACCTGTCTGAGTCCCTCCCTCACGCCACCCAGCACTCCTTCGAACGTGTGTCCGCTCCTAATCTTGCCAGCCACGTTTGTCAAGCCTCTGTAGATCGCTCGTAGCTCAGGCATATCGTAGCTCGAAAGCAAGATGGTCTGTCTGATGTTGAGCGCTCGATCATCCAAGTACCATTGCCGCACTCTAGAAAAGTCGGTATCGTGCGACGCTTGGGGTATTTGGGAGGTGCGCGATAGGACGTACTGTTATTTGCAAAAAAGACTTGTCCGTCAGTCGGCGGGCACGAAAGCAGGGGCCAAAAAGGCGAGACTTACCTGTACATGATCCCAATTCTGCATACTCATCACCTCTGCCTGATCCACAACGAGCATCTCAATCGAGCTCAGAAAGTCCGAATCGCCGTCTTTTTGCAATGCCAATCTGAGTCCCAGCGGACTAGCGAGGATCACGTCGCTCGCATACCAGCCCGTCCAGAGCCTCATCTCTTTTCTCTTTAGCTGAATTCCAAACCGAAAGTTATCGTCGGTATTGCCCGCAAAGGTTTGCACAAAGTCTTTGGGCTTGTCAGGTAGCTCCTCGGAGGAGAGAGCGACGCTGGGATCGGGACCAAAGTCTGATGAGAGACGGTCAGAACCTGAAAGCGTTTCTAGACCACTTGCTGCGAAGAGCGCTTGAACCCAGACGTAGGCGCTGGAACGGAATGGCGAGAGAACGAGAAGAGTGGGCCTCGTGTAGCCTTGATCGCGCGGCACGTCTATCGATCGACCTTCCGAAGAAGCTTTTGCCAATCTTTCATTATTGCGAAGGATTTTGCGTCTTGTCCTGCACATGCGTATCCCCCACTGTCAGCGCGTCGTGCCTGCATTGTGCGGCTGGGTCGGAGCGAAGACTCACTTGATCAGATGGCTCATGGCGTGCAGAGCTAGCACCTGCCTGCGATCTTTCTGAGCCTTGCGGTCCAGCGCGCGCGTGTCCAAGAGATCCGCGTGGGAGCCGAGAAGGTCTGCGAGTGCGGATTGGGAGGGGGAAAAGGGAGCTCCTTTCCTGGCTTTGAGCAGGCTCGTGTGGGCATTGACATGGGGCTGCGGGACATGTGGCGTGGTTAGGATGAATGGGCAGACCTGCTCAGAACAGCGAGACTGTCTATTCGCTCACTCTAGCGATCGCAGTGTCGAACCCTTTGACCATCGATCGACTGGCTTCCTTTCCTAGAGCCTTTACTACGCTCTCATGAGAAGAGCCGTGCGCATCTTGCCACTCCAGCTCCCTGACGCTGCCCTCCTTGGCTGTCGGGTAGAGCTGACTGATGACCTGCGCATGTCTCTTGTCTCCGTGAGAGCCGAAATGTACCTCGAATCCGTCGATATCCGGCACCGCAGCGACCATTGTCCCAGCTGGAGTCTGGCTGTCAGATTCAGCGTCCGACTCGACATCGTCGGCCAAGCGGATCTGACTGGGCGCATCGTTAGTCGCAGCGCGTTCGTTTGATGCAGATCGCTCGAGAGGGATCTCTTGCGACACACTCTCTACCTTTTGCAGATTCCTCATGGCCTCTCCTACTTTGACGCTCATCATTTCCTTCTTGCTCATCCTCACATCCCCTTCCTGTGCAGAGTGCAATGCTCTGCGATGCGCATGTCCCAATTTTCGACGAGAGGGACTACCGGGTTCGGATACTCGGGCACGCTTGCGCTTATTTGGCTTTGCGGCGCTCACATTTACCAGTG